TACGACGGAGCCGAAATATGCGAGCTTGTAGGCTTATTCATCCTCAACGACCTATGTAACACATACGGGAAAGACAACATCGGACTTTACAGAGACGAYGGACTTGCCATCTTCAGAAACATCTCCGGACCACAAGCTGAACGCACCAGAAAAGACATCACAAGACGCTTCAACACACATGGACTTAACATCACCATACAAACTAACTTGAAAATTGTTAACTACCTGGACGTHACTTTCGACCTAACAAAAGGTACCTACTGCCCCTACAGAAAGCCGAACAACAAACCACTGTACATCAACACAAAGTCTAACCACCCGCCTAACATATTAAAGCARCTTCCAGCATCCATCAACCGCCGCATCTCCGACAACTCATGCAACGAACACGAATTTAACTCGGAGTTACAGCAAAATCTTGCCTCTTTGATATCATATATACATGTTCTATTTACAATTATTAGGTTTTAATCGTATAGTACTTACAAATATTATATAATTATTTCTATATAAACTATTAATCAGTATCACATCAAGACATTTGTTGAATTGAGTTACAAATATTCTATTTATGAAGATTTTTACAGATTATACTATTTAAAATTATTAAGGTTTTTATTGAATCTCCTATTCGGTCACTACTCCACAATTAAATGAAATAAATTAGAGTACAAGTTACACTAAATATGTGCCACACTCTGTACTGTCTAACACTAAAAAGTGGTARGTCACTAAAACATTTAGGTTAARAGCTAAGTTATGCTTAATTACTTTTGTGGACTTGTCATTATTTTGCAAAACCATCACAACATTTTCGTTGAATTAAGTTAAGAGTTCATTAGTTTTTGTAGGCTTGAATCTTTGGCAAAACCATCCCGATCGTATCTTTGCACGTAGAATGTTGTAGYTATTCTTTGTTGTTTAACAGAATACAACATTTGAATTGGTGTTGAATCTGTGACAACAACAACAGACCTACCGGACAGAACTTGTATGACTCGTCCTTCGCTAGGGATCTTTTCAAAGTGCCTCTTCTTCAGGTAAATTTCGCCTTGAAATCGAGAGGGATTCCATACACTTTCGGCTGTTTGTGGATTGGTGATCGTAATGGTAATTTTTTTCCCATCTCTGCTACATTCAACGTTTGCTCTATATCCAGACACGAGAACCATTAAGTGTTTAAAAATTTCAGCGTGATTGGATTGTTTTTAAGGCCATTTCATCGCTTTGTTTTCAACCTTTTTACAGACTGATTACAAGACACGATAATTATGTTGTTGTGGCAWTATTTTACAACCTTTTACTTTGGCGAATTTCTCAAAAATACAAATTCCCTGGAATCTTTTAATATGCTTTTTGGAAAAGGTCTACCTAAAGGTGTCATCTGGCAAAGTTTGAAGATTTTTTTTTAGAGTGTTTTTGCTTTTCTGCTCTCTCACAAACTTGGCCAGTTCTTCTTGGCTATTGGTAACTTCGTAATTTTCAGGCAGTGAGTGAAAATTTTCTTCTTGTTCTTGTTCATCCGGATAAGCAACAAATCAGCTAAATGTCCTGTAAGCACCTACCATTACTAAACATCCCTCTAGAAAATACAGTCCTTGATGASTTAGACTTGGTGTTAAGGGTAACAGGTAATGAGSCCCTCCCAGAGATTATTGGGAACATGGGAACAAAAGCATTTATTTCATGGGAACAAGGGATATTAAAAGATTATTTTGCGGGATAATGGGAACTTTAGATGCCATAAATTGGAACAAAGAAACACAAATTTCAATATTTATTAATTTTCTTTATGATTTACTTTACGAATGAGATAAAAATATATGCTTAAATGTCCGATTTATTGTTGCCCACGTTACTTTTGAGCCACGCAAAGCATGCTATATAGTTTTATAAAAGAATGACCGCCAAGTCCTGGGRAGGAGGTCATGGTTCAAGATGGCGGRCGTTGACACGAGTCACGCTCTAGATCGCTTCGAAACTGTAATTGTTGTTATAGAATTACAGTATTTACTATGTGTATGTGTTTAATCTATTGGCGATGACAGCAAATCAGCTAATCACTGTGCCACCATTTGCATCTCACTTKCCACCAAGATTGCTATTATTGACATTATTTGTTGTTATATGCTTTTTGATACATTTGGGGCTCTTGCATTAAATGAACACTTTATTCAGTGCATTTGCAATAAAAGAGTTACACAAACTTCGTTCCATCAACTTTTTTAAAGCATGTWAGTAATTTCTTTTAATTACCTTTAATGAAGTAGTAAAAACGAATTAATTTATTGTGTTGTTTTWCCCTCAGGACACTGGCACGACTGTTGTGAAAATAAAAGCAAGAAATCGAATAGCTGCTTCACAAAAACTGATGACGTTGTACTCAGTATGATCAAGGAGACTGTGATCCTTAACTTGATAATACTGGCTTGATTTAGACAGTGCAGCATCAGCAACAGACCGTGATAATAGTTCAAATATGTAAGATATTTATAAATATACTATAATATAATATTAGCAGTGTGATGGTGTTTAATAAGTAAAAACAAATACAATATGCCATAGTTTTTTAAATGTTATGAGAATTGTTGTTCCCTTGATTCTCCTTTGAAATTTTGTATCTCAAACTAAAGTACCAAGCTGCAAGTGGGTTAATTAGTAATTTTCAAAAAGCTATCATAATGACTATATTTCTCGTGGAATAATGAAATTGTTACTAATATCACATATTTTTCTTTTACATTAAGCGAATTTTGYGATGATGATAACCTTTGTGATGAATCAAAGTTGATAGAATGTTCAACTGACATTGATATGGAAACTGAGAATAGTGATGATGATAGMTATTTATCATCATTTGCAGATACTGATAGTAAAATGGTGAAAAAGACGAGTACGGATTTAGTAAAAATCAWTTTAGAAACGAAATTAAAAGTGGCTTCTAAAGAGTGTATGTTGAGAGCATAGATCCAGTTGCCAAAAAACTTCAGACTTTCCTTAATTCTGGTATACTTCCCAAGGAAAGTATGTTTTATATTTTGCTAAAAACGCTATCAATTATGTAGATTGGCTTATTAAAAGGAAAGAAAACCATAGTAAAAACTGGAGTATCATTTTGGGAGAAAGATTGTTAAAGTGCTAGTCTCCAAAATAACCCGCCTCAAAAACAGGTTAGTTGGATGGATGGTTGGATGGATGGTTGGTTGGTTAGATTCATGGTACTTTTTGTAACATTTTTGGTTCCTTTTTGTAACTTTGTTCTTTTTTGTAATATGGGTTTTAACTTAAAAGTTACAAAAAAGATCAAGTTCTTTTTTGTAACTCAATCTAGGTTACAAAAAGGACCAACTGTTCTTTTTTGTAACTTGAGGTTCCTTTTAGTAACCTAGTGAAAGTTACAAAAAGGACCAAATGTTCTTTTTTGTAACTTGAGAATGTTCCTTTTTGTAACACTGAATAAAACACCCAATTCATTTCATTATATAGCAATATATATGAAAATCGAAGAAAAAGCGTAAGAATTCATTGAAGCTGATAATATTGGAGTATTTTTATTGTTATTATCATAGTGTTTACATCGCTTTCAGAGGCGTAATCGTTGTTATTATCATTGCGCACAGTGTAAACATCGCTATCAAAGGCGGAATCATTGTTATTATCATTGCACATAGTGTAAACATCGCTATCAGAGGCGGAATCATTGTTATTATCATTGCACATAGTGTAAACATCGCTATCAGAGGCGGAATCATTGTTATTATCATTGCACATAGTGTAAACATCGCTATCAGAGGCGGAGTCATTGTTATTATCATTGCACATAGTGTAAACATCGCTATCAGAGGCGGAATCATTGTTAGTATCATTACGCATGCGCATTTGTATTATTATTGTCATTCGAAATATTCTATATACGCTGTTTAATAGTGATAATGTCAAGTATTGATAAGTTAACATGATGTTAGCAATGTATGCTGATGACAAGATGACAATAAATATCAGAAAATGAATAAAAATTGCATGAATTTTTATCCCACATGGAATGTGGTAATGCTTATAGAATATATGGATATTTAATCAGATTAAAAAACTTGGAATTMCAACGAATTTCAGAGCAGTAAGGTAAGTTTTATTACCTCAATATCATGCAGATGAAATGCTCTGAATATTTGTATGGGAGCCCCCATATTTCCCTAGAATATTCAGTAACACATGTGAGAGGAGCCTATGCTTTTTTGGGTACAAAAKGGTTAACCATTTAATGTTTGTGAATKTWTTAATTAACATCTTATTTAGATGGCGGATCCTGAGAAACCAAAGGTTAACTACCAACGAAAGAAGCATCAATGTCCTGTTTGCCAAAAGTCAGTCATTYATCTACCAAGACATTTAAGAACAGCACACAAGTGGGAACACTCGAAGTCATTAGAAGCTTTATCTGTATTTGACCTTAGAGCGAAAACCGATAAAAAGCCATGCCCTGTTAAAGACTGCAAGACATCTTCTGCTGACATAGAACACCATATGGCAACAGAACACAACATGACTCAAGAMGAAATCCAGTCTATACGTGAGAAGTCACGCGCAGTCACGTTCCACAAAAGAACACGCTCCTCCAAAGCGCAAGAGAGAATTCAAGCRACGTGTATGTCCATATCCACATTGTAACAGCATTGTAARGAGGATACACCATCACTTAACTGCTGGTAAGCATAAGATGTCCATACATGACCCTCTGTACAAGAAATATCTCCGAGATTCGTCATTTATGGAGCTTAAGGGCACCCATGATGACCCAGTAACTATCTCATCATCTGATGAGAGCTCGTTAGATACAAGCGAAGAAGAAAGACAATTAAAAAGAGTGCGAAAAAACCCCTCTGCCAAAGGAAAGACAATGGTGGAGTCCTCAGAATCTACCAAAGGAAAGACAATGGTCGAGTCCTCAGAATCAAAAAAAGAAGAAACGGATTCAGACAGAAGCCCTTCCCCAGAGGCCAATGGCTGAGAAACGAGAACAGGTAACACCCTCAGGGGATGACGAAGAAGAGGTTATTCCTCCCTCACCTCACGGCTCCGGAGTGAGACTTGAAAGCAAACAGGATGACAAAGAGAATCAGTGTGAAGACGAGGAAGACGACTCTGAGGATCAGCAGGATGACAAAGRGAATCAGTGTGAAGACGAGGAAGACGACTCTGAGGATCAGCAGGATGACAAAGRGAATCAGTGTGAAGACGAGGAAGACGACTCTGAASATCAGCAGGATGACAAAGAGAATCAATGTGAAGTCAAGGAAGACGACTATGAGGATCAGCTTGAAGGCCAAAAAGAAAACATCAAAGAAAAAAAGACCACAACTCACAACAAAGGACATGAAGATAAATAATGGACGCTCTATTGTCGATGAAGATTCTAGTAATGCAGCTGGCGAAGAAGAAGACTACGAACCAGAAAGCGAGAGTGGAGAAGAAGAAACAGATGATGAAGATGAGATCGATGAATCCCACAGAAGATACAGGTGAAATGGGTGCTTGTGGCAACTCAGAAACAGACTTCATTCTCGAAAATTTCAAGAAATGGTTACAAGGTATAGACGGAGGGAGGAGAGAGCTGAAACAGCAAGGCAATATGTGTCACAAGTTTCTAAAATCATCAATCATTTGGATCCAGAACACCGGAAGATTACATCTATCTTCGACAGGAAACGTCTTCGCGACAAATGGCTGTCACMCTTGGAAAAGGCCAGGAAACCTGGAACATGTAAATCTTACTTGGCTTCCCTCTCACGCTTCCTCCGTTTCATTATTGTTGAGAAACCTCCTSGTCTTCAARATTGTTTCGATCAAGGCACAAAAGTGAGAGAGCAAGTTCAAGAGTGGCAAGCATCTTTTAAAGGTCCTATCGCGGAAAGAAGATGGGAGAAATTAATGGAAGATTTAGAAAAGCTTATAACACCAGAGGATGTCGACAAATTCGATAGATCGRAATTCACAAGAAAGGCGGTATAGACTCTTGGCCAGTACATGATGATCACCCGTGGAAATTACCCAGCAAATTTGAGTTCTGCCAAGTAAGAGACCACCTGATAACCCGTTTATKTGTCAATAATGCCCCGAGAGCTGGTCCAATAGCAAACATRACCCTAGGGGAACTGGAAAAAGCAAAAAAAGATGGAGATCAGATGGYAGTAACTGTGCTAAAACACAAGACACTGGCCTCAGCAGGACCAGCCCACGTTRTGTTATCCAGCACTCTTTTTGAGTGGATCCAGKCATATGTGAAGTACATGCGGAACAAGGTACCGGGTGCAAGCACTGATAAGGAACAGCACGTGTTTATTAGCTTTAATGGTAAACAAATGTCATCATCCATGGTTTCCTCACAAATCAAATTTTGATCCAAAGCAGTAGGCAAGCCTCTTATCATGGTGAATGCAGCATCATTCCGAAAGGCAGCTGTCTCCGTAGTGCATGAAGAGCATCAACACTTAAAAAGAGATTTGGCTGATTTAATGGGACATCACCAAAAAACAGCGGAAAAGTACTATCTTCTACGCCAAAAATCCAAGTCAGCTGCAAARACATCAGAAGCTCTGACAAACATAATGTACAGTCAATCTGGAGGCGAGCAACACAAAGAWCCCGAAGAGAGAACCACGTTGGCACGATCAGGTATCGCACAGTGTATTTAAGATTAGATAAATAAATCACTAATTTGTTTTTACATAATGCTTATTGCCAATCATATGTTGCATTTTGTTATCACGCATATCATTTTGATAATTACATATCATTATAGTTATTTTTACTGCTAAACAGAAAACAGTCAACGTTATCAATGGTGATCAGAAGAAGCAGAAGCAGTTAAATCAGCTTTTAAAGACGATATTGCTAAGAAGGATATCACAATTGAAACTGTAAAGGAAGTCATTAAAGATCACCSGTTGCTTGGTAAGATCGACGCCACCAAAGTAGTCAATAAAGTGCGTTCCATATTCAAAGAAGCCGATGATAATACAGAGAAAAATGTCCCAYCTACTGAAGTTGAAGGAGAAGCTGAAAAGTTTAAGCGTTTTTTCGGTGATAATGAGTCAGTTCAGACTATTTCAGTGAGTMGAAAAGGTGGTACTGTGTTTTCAGATTTTCAAACATAAATTTTCTGGCGACTTTTCCAAGACCTGATCGAAACCAACAAGCCCATAACACGGAAGTACATTATGGACACGATCGAGCAAGATGAGGAAGCAAAGAAGGAGATCGKTGGCTATACTGGCCAGCAACTTCAAGACAAGATTCGCACTSAATGCAGAAAGATTAAGCGAGCTCAAGGCCAACAATAACTAATTAACTAATAATTAATTATGACATGAACGTTAAAGCGTGGCAAAAATGCMTCGAAATTGTTTCTAAAAGTTGTGTTGTCTTAAAATTGTACTGAAAGTAGCAATAGTGACGGGCATACAACTGATGCTTGTAAGTCTATTATTTCTACATTCATACAAGGTTATTTATCTAACGTTGATATATTTACAGACAAATATGGTGTCTCTAGACTTAGACCATTTTTGTGTATAACACAGTGTTATATTTGTTTAAGTTATATTTGTTTCAATAAAAAAGTAAATTGTTTCTTTTGTGTCACGTCCCTATTGCGTTAAACATATTCAAGCGTATTAACCAGAGGCATAAATATCGTTATTATCATTGCGCACAGTGTAAACATCGTTATCAGAGGCATAATTGCTGTTATTATCATTGCACACAGTGTAAACATCGCTAACGGAGGCAGAAATATCGTTATTATCAATTGCGCACAGTGTAAACATCGATATCAGAGGCGTAATTAGCGTTATTATCATTGCACATAGTGTAAACATCGCTATCAGAGGCCTAAATATCGTTATTATCATTGCACATAGTGTAAACATCGCTATCACAGGCGGAATCATTGTTACTATCATTGCGCACGGTGTAAACATCGCTATCAGGGTCATAAGCATTGTTATTAACATTACACTATATCATAAACGTCAATATCAGAGTCTTGGTTAGGTTTTCCGAAAGGCAACCTTCAGCTTTTATCGCTTTTTCAATTTGTTGGGATCCCAGTGTTGCGGCAAAAAGCTGATATGTGCACACTGTAATCGTCGCTATCAGAGGAATAATCATCAGTATTATCATTTTACCATATTGTACACATTGCTATCACAGCCGCAATCATTGTTATCATAGTTCATTAGAGTTTTAAAGAATTTTGGAATACAGATGTCTTATTACGCTGCGATGATCGAATCAGAAAGCTTGTTCCTTTTTGTAACGTGACATTTGTTTCAATAAGAAAATATATTCTCAATTTTGTGTCACATCTATAATTGCGTGATACATATTCAAGTATATTAACTCCATAAAGACCAAAAAATATCAACGGAAAAAGGAACCCAATTTTTTATAAAGGCAGACATCCTTATACCCTGTTATAGTTCCTTTTAGTAACATTTGGACATTTTAGGTGCACTCAGAAATAAATTATATAAATTTTATTAAAAATTATATAGAGACGATCTTTTTACATAACATTTAGCTATAATTTATCTGTGTTTTTCACAACAAAACTTGAGAAGCCATTGTTTTCTTGAGCTGTAATTTAAGTTGGCGTGGAAGTGATAGAAATGCCAAAATTGGAGAAAATTTTGAGTTTGCCTCCAAACACAATTTTGACAGAAAAACTGTAATAATTCGATTAAATCAAAACGTATTGCAACCAAACTTTTAGAACGGCATTGATGACTATCGCTTCTACTGTGTGGCAAATTACAACAACTTAAAAAGCGAATTTACAGAGAAATATGCTTTTTTGTAAGAGTGACAAAATTTCGCTAATTTTGAAATTTACTGATCTTGTGTTCCACGATACAACTACTTGACTTTTAGCGCAAAGTGATCTTTCTATATTCAACTTTATAAAACAACATTCTTGTTGAAAATTACCGCAAACTCGTGTTGAATTTGGTGCGAGTGCGCCTCTGACGTCACTTCTATGAATATGTAATGAGTTGGACGGCACGCTCTCAAATAATGGCGGATAAGAAAACGCCAAATTTATCGGTTCAAAAAGATATCTTTTCGTTGACGCATAGACACAAAAAACGGCAAGAATACTATTTGGTATTTGTATTTTATTCTGTATAAATTTCAAGAATTTTAGTTTTTTGATAAGACTAGCACTTTAACTTTTTAAGGGGACCTGGCTTTGAAGGAGAAGGTTCTAGTGGAGTTTCTGGTTTTGACTGGACTAAATGGAACTGGCCATTGCCTGCGAAAACAACACGTGATAAAATGTACAGCGGATACTCAACAGACGATGGAATATATAATTCCCTTCTGCAGAGTTTCTTGCAATTATCCAGTAGGCCTGACGGTAATATACGTACTCTCTATGAAGATAGCAAAGTAAAGATCATCCCTGTTGAGCTCGCAAAAGATGCTATGCAACTGAAATCCGGTTTGCTCTATGACAGTAKGCAAGGTAAACTAATTGGAAGTACCCTCAACTTGGATTACAACTATATAAAGCAAGGTGAGCCAGATAAAGATGCCTTAAAAAGTACTATTGTACAAGAGGCAGAAGTTATGTGTCTAACAACTCTAGGTGCAAAGTCTTCCTTGCCTGTAGGAGTAAATCATTTGACAAAAGGACTGACAGCGTTAGATACTTTARAAATCGTTAAGAATGAAGCACAAGAAATAAATGTTTGCCTTGATCATTTGCAACATATCAGAGGTGACAGCGTCAGAATTTCAACAAACTGTTCCAGTCATTGTAATGATTGTATTGAACTAAGAACCGTCTGTGATGTATGCAGTGAAAAAGGATATGCTGTTATCGAACCTTCTCTGAAACCATGCTCTTCGTGCTTGGAAAAGAATATCCAGTGCATCAAGGCAGCTGTTATTTGCATATTTGAGGATTCCGAATCAAGAATGCTTGCGCACAAAAATTGCTTATGAAAGAGAAGGAGGAACAATCAGTTCCACATTTGTCAACCATATCACCCATGCCAGATGGTGACAAGAGAATACGACAGAGTTTCTCGAATTGGTTTCTGCTAGTGAACAAGTACCGAGTAAATTTAGTTCAACTAATGGAGTTGAGAAATGACACCATCCTCAATTGAAAGCTAGCACCCATACTGCCGCTAAGTGCTGCGAGAAACCGTGATCGTCAAGACGTCRACTCCATAACGGAGATTTCAAGTCCTTCTGTGAGAAAGATTTTAACAGACAAAGTAAAATGGCACCTATTGGAGCATGCACTAGTCCTTTAGGACATATATTTGTCAGTGATGTTGTGCAGGTATACATATATATATTGAGCAAAATGATGCAC